TAAAGTCGGATTTTTAATTAAATATGGAGAAAATTAACTATACATTTAGTTTTTTAATTATAATCAATAGCTTTTTTTTCTTTTTTTTTCGAAATAATTATTTTTTTGTTTTATTTTTAAAATTTTTTACTTTTTAACCAAATTATACATCCAAAAAAGGAAAGCAAGAAATGTGGAGTTTGTAATTCATCTCTGATGAATTCTCGAGTAATATCAACCGGCAGACCATTTAATATAGTTAACCAAATGAGTGTCATTGTTGTGATGTGGTTAATAGGTTATACCAACTGGTTTGAAAAGCAAAGAAAACGATTGACAACCAGCGTTTCTTTGAAAATGTCAAATGCTAAAAATTAATAAGAAATTTACTATTTATTTGTGGTTTTTAATTAGCGATGGTCGATACTATATATATTATAATATAAAAAAATAGATATAGTAAATTTCCTTGTTGTATTTTTGGAATATCGTTAATTAGAAATTAGACTTTATATTATTTCAAATAATTTCCAAAATATTTTTGTTATAAATTTGAAAATATGATAAACGAATTATTAACTAATAGTATCTCATATTTTTTTCAGTTAAATATAAAGCAATTGTTAGCGATATTTCTAGCAAAAAAAATGGGAAAATACTTCAATTAGTTAATACAAAACAAAATTAAACTAAAAAAAAGAAGACATGACGATTCGTGACTTTGTCCTCTCTTCTGCAAAACCGTTTGAATCGTATGGATTTTTCTTGATATACATATTTGGGTTGTTATACACTGGTTATGCGTTTTATATAGTAGTTGAATACTATTTAATTCCGAGTTGCAACAACTGCTCGAAAGTTGTCACGCGGATCATAAAGAATAGTTTTCTAGCCAACTTGATAATGATTGCGGCCCAATCGATGCCGGAGTTTTTCATTGGGTTAGTTGGGTATGCGTTGATAGGGGATGTTGTCTTTTCCGCATCCATCATATTTGGGTGTACATTAGTGAATACGATGTTACTGACTGGCTTGGCGTCGTTCATTTCTCTTGACAATGTTGTTGTAGCCAAAACAGCCTTTGTGAGGGATGCGACCTTCTTTTTAGTTTCGGTCATCATCATTTATTTCTTCTCGTCACCGTTTACCATCAAACAACTTGAATCGACATCAGATGCACCAACCACGACATATTTATTGATTTTGTTGTGGATATCACTCTTCATCTATGTCATGTATATCATTACATTCACTATGATGTCGTTCTTCTCGAAGAAAAGAGTGTACGACCACCACTTTAGGTTCTTCGACAAACTCATTGGGAAAAAGGAGAGTCATGAGAGTGAAAGTGTTACAGAGAACAAGTCGACGTTGGCTGAATCCGAGAAGGTTGAAATCCCAATCACACTCCACGATGATACAGTGGTGCAGTTACACAGTGGACTGTTGTTTGTCAAGTCGCCGTATTACACAAATGTCACATTTTCTCCATTACAGTGGAAGCAACACTGGTGCGACCTTTTCAGAGACGAGATGTTAATACACAAAGACGCAAATCCTCTATCACCGACATTCCAGACTATTCCCGTCTCGTCGATAACTAAAGTTATTTGTGACACTATGGATCCTACATTCTTTATATTAGCAATGTGGAATGGATCGCATACAGTACGGTACACTATGCGAAGTAATCAGCGAGAGTCGTGGGTATCGTACTTCGAAGTTTTGTTACAAGAAAATAACACATTAGTCAAGTCGAAGCACTCGAAGACGTTCTTTGAGATCATGCAGCGGAAGTGCACGTGTAAAGCAACGATGAGTGATTCACAAACGTTTTTGAATATGCCTCGCGGTAAAGCACAACGAGTCATCTACGTCATTTTCTGGCCTTTACTGATGTTATTGGCCTACACAATTCCAGACGTGAAAATTAAGTCATTGGGTCGAATGACTCCTTTGACCATATTAATTTCATTAATATACATCGCAATATTCGCTTTTATTGGAGTCTTCTGTGGGTATCGACTTTCTGAAGTGCTTCGTTGTCCCAATGATGTCTTAGGGTTTACATTCGTTGCGTTATGTTTGTCTATTCGTCATATAATAAGTGGGTGGGTGAGTGGCAGAATGATGTGTGCCAATTTGGCGATTTTGAATTCATTTTCTGTGTCATTATTCTTCACAAACGTAGCTATAGTAATACCATGGATGATTTACTATTACACAGTGTTGGCTAGAAAACTCGATGTGGGAGAGCAAAAGCATTTCACTTTATATTCACTTGAATGTATCACGATTGGGGAAATAGTGGTGACAGTATCTCACTTAATAGGAACCGTCGGATTTAAAAACTTGACAATCAGCCACGCGTTCGGTATATTCTTGGTGTTGGGGTACATACTCGTCTTTTGTGCAACTTTACTCACATGGATAGGAACAGTCGTGTAAGTTAAAGTAAATGTGGGTTTTATTGAGTTTATTTTTTGTATCAGTTGGTATAACATTTTTAACTATTATAATTAATACATGTTATACAAACAATTCACAAGTCTTTAACTGATTAAAAAATACCTCGTTAATTATTTTTTTTATATATTTTTTTTAAGGATCGAAATAAAGTTTAACGGATAATAAATTTCATTTGTTTGAGTTTTCATTTAATTTGTTCAGATAATTGTATTTACGAATCCGATATAAAATAGTAGTTTTTAATTATACTTATATTAATAATTATATTAGAAAAATAATAAACAAAATGATATTTGAAAAAATTAACATTGTGATTGTATTTTTTTTTACTTTTCGGCATTTTCCTTTATTTTAATTTTTATATCGGTAATGTAAAAAAACCTGAAATATTTGCGTTATAAAAACACACAAAATAAAAAAATAAAAATTCGATATAATTATTTTGAGTGACAATCACATTTTTACCACTTTATTACAAAACAATATAAATAGAATGAATAAAGAAAAGATTTTTGAAAACTAAACCATAATTTTATTCTATTTATAGAAATGATAATAATAGTAAAAACAATTAATAATTAATGATACTTTCTTGTTTTGTTACTTAATTGATTTTATGAACTGAACTCAAACATTCATTTGTGGTATGGAGTGTGTTCTTGATATCATTCAAACACGTCGCATCAATCAAGTTTACACAACCACAACAAACTATGTTAGTGTTTCTTTAAAACCATGTCAGATTCTTGTAGTCAAGCCATACCACAAATTGGACACAAAGTCAAAGCCTCGCCTCTTAGAAGTCGAGGAATAGTAGTCTGTACCGCTTTTTCATTACAATTGACTGCTTATGTATAGTTTAGTTGTATTATAATAACATATTATATCTAAGTGAATATAATAATATAATAATATAATATTATTATAATAATATAATAATATAATAATATAATAATATAATAATATAATAATATAATGTTATAATATATAGAGAATACAAGAGAAATGCAATACACAATATATAAACAACAGAACACACTCCAATCGAAAAGACTGCGTGTTTAGCTCAATAAGTTACTTGAGAGGCAACTCATCTCATATGCGGACCTCTCACCAAGAACAAAGTGTATATTGAGCTCTTTCTTGATATATTCTATCTCGATTTTGGGTACAACTATTTGGCAGGACAAATTCGACACAAAGAAGACGGTCTTTGCTTTCGAAATGTTCTTCTTTTGAGCTGCTTTAGTTAGGCTCGGATACAATACTTTACCAAAGTATCGATCTTTAAGGTTATTATATATGTAACAGTGGTAGTCTCTATAATACAATACTATTCTATATATATACTATTAATATATTATAGTATAAATATACTATATATCTTAGTAAAGATATAATATAATATCAATAAGAATCCAATACTATATATAATAATAAAGATATTATAAAAATAAGAACCGAGAGAACAACAAACAGACTCGATCGGGAAGACTATAATCGTCTTCGAAATAATCCCAGACGAGTAAAAGAGCTGAGCACAAATTATTTACAGAGAATTTGTCGCTTTTTTGGTCGAGGTGGTTATTTTCAAGTAAGACAAAGGTGGATTGAATTGTCCAATAGTCCAAGTAATACTGTCTTTCCAATTCCTCAAAGAAGTCCCTGTGCTTCTCAAGGAGTTCGATGAATAAATTGATGTCTTCGGATGATTGTTTAGTGCTTGGAGTACCTTCTAGTGAAGATGGGGATATGAGTAATCGGATATTAGATTGAATACCTTTGGGACGTTCTTTGGCTTTCGATTGTTTCTTTTGGTTTTTGTCTGTTGGGTGGAAGAGTTTGTTAAGAAAAGTACTATTAATGAATCAATGAATAGATTACGAAGTATAGTTGTTGTTGATATAAATTATAAGAATTTAACAAACATAAACGTCTGCATGTGATGTCTCGATATGTCGTTTGCTTTTTCAATGTGTTTATATAGTTTGAAATGTGCAATCACGCGGTTTCGTTTTTGATTTTTCAATTCTTCGTTTTATAAATGTGAAGTACTATAAAATAATAATATATTTTACTAATATTATGAAATGTTGTTTTTTGTTATTAATTTTAACACCAAATCTTAAACGAAACTATAACAGTATATAAATACCTTAAGAATAAGGGATATTGTTTTTACCAAAAACTATGTGATGTTTTTGGGTTCAATCATTTTCTAACCAATAAAATTAAACTATAATACTAGTATTATTTATTATAATTTTTTATAATAAAAAAAAATAAACAGTATCTTTTTTGACCTCATTGGACTTTATTTATAATGAACATTTTTTTATTAAAATTAAATTAAAATTAGTTAGTAATTATATAATATATTTTAAAGAAAAAAATGTAATATTTTTATTAGTGATTTTGTAATTAATTAAACTAGTTATAAAAACTCTAACAAATGATTGATTGATATTATAAAATATTAGTTATCAATATCATAATTTTTCTCATAATTTATTCTATAATGCATCACAATTGTCGAATGTTTCAATAAGATAATCCTCATTCGTTGTCAAAGGAATTATGACCAACCATACGTAATAATAAAACAACAATTAAATAGTAACCGAACTAAGAAAAATAGTAACCGAACGAACACATAATACATAAACTTAAAACCCACTAATTGAGCCAGTTGCGGAGCTCATTTGTGAACTTCCCCTTCCATCGACACTCATCGCTTTTATTTTCCGTTCAGATGTATTAGTGAATTCGATGTTTTCCATTTGTATTCCCAAGTCTGATTGGATAAATGGGAATATCTGTGTTTTGAGTTCTTCTGGGACCTCGATTTTTCTTGAGAAGAAAGGCATGTAGAGTTGTGCGAGGATCTTAGTCTGGAGAATTGTGTTATTTCCGTTTTCGATGAATTTGAGAATGAATTGGGTATCGACATTGCCTCCAGGCGATGTTGCTTGTCTCTCCAAATTATTTAAAATGGTGTCGTTCTCCTCGAGCAATTTATTCAAGTAATTCTGCGTATTGACTCCCGTGCTTTGCATCACATTAAATGTGACGGGAGAGTGTTGCCGATAGACTCTAGGGGAGTGCGAGGAACTATTTGTCCCAATGAGGATCAAGTTATTCTTCTGACCTCCCAATCCGCTTTGTGTGTTGTACTCTCCTTGTGCCTGACTCAACACAAAATAGTCTCGTGGCGTTTCTACCGTGTTGTTTTCGCCTTGCAATGAAAATCGTCGACGGCGTGTAGTGTCTCGGTCGCGCTCAAATGGGGGCTTTGTAGATGGTAGATACATTTCCCGATTGCGAGGCGATATGAACGATGATTGCGTCTGTTGATCTGCGCGTTGGGTGTAGAAGTTCTCGTTCTGACAGTAGTCGTCCCACGGCGGACGCTGGTGGTGAGTGGAAAAACAAATGCTATATTTTATAGAAAAAATAGTATAACTTACTAGTAAAACGGGTATTAAAGACAAACAGTTTGTGGAGCGATTTGACACCACTTAATGCGCGAAGTGATCTGTTGAATTGTTTTTGAAGGGAATTTTCCAGAGATTTTGAGTATTGAAGTGATCCCGTTGAATTGTTGTCCGGCCTGTTGCATTCTATTCATTAATATAGTTTTATTTGTTATAAACGATAGTTCAATGACTTCTAACGGCATCCAATTGAACAAACCGAAAAAGTTCATCCTCCAGAATTTGTTGTTCGTTTTGGGACCACTGGCAAATGCCAAGTGTTTCGTTTTTGATTGTGTTGTGCTTACTTTTTACCGCCATGGTTTTTTTTAAGATAGACAGTTCGCTTTTTTCTCTTTTTGCATTTTTGGTGGAGGTTGCCATCTTGGGGATTGTGGGGGATATTGAAAGAAAATTTTGTAAGTAAATTTTATTGTATTTCAAAATGAGAATTCTGAGGCCAGAAATAGATTCATTTAATTTATTTGGAAAATACTATTTATTCTAATTTTTGATACTATTAGTAACAAGATTGACTCATTATTTTAGTTAATTGTTAATTTAGTTAGTAAATGGATTTTTATTATTTTTATTAATGACATCTATGGTATAAATATAACAATTTTACTATTTTTTTCATTGAGTTTTTATAATAACTGTATAGTTGTTTAATAATTTAAATATTGAAACCATAATAATATTATACAAAAGTAGTTTATATAAGTAAATTATCCACAGACCAATTTATAGTTTATTTTTAACTAAAAAATAAATTGTAAATAAATAGCTTTTTTTCTGTTTCATACTCAAAATTAAAAATAGATATAAAAGTTGAAAAAATAGTAAAAGATTAATTTGTTTGTAATTATTTTATATAAGATGACAAAAACCCAAATTAGTAATTTTACTTTTAGATGAAAATCTTCTCATATTTTTTTATTATAAAGTTATTTATATTTGTACATTTTAGGTATTTTTTGTAATCAAATAATCCAACTATCAAGTTAACGAAAAAAATAATTCGTTGATATTCAAAAATTGTATTATAAATTCTTAATTTCAATATTATTTCTATAATACATAATAGTTTTTATTAATTAGTTGTTATGAATTTGTCATTTAATGATTTCTTTATCATTGAATTCTAATTATAATAGATATTTTTTTTATGAAAAACTCGTTTTAAATTATTACAAAGATATTTCAAAAATGACAATATACAAGTAAAATTCAACATTTAAAAAATTCGATGTTATTCTAATTGTACTGTATTAAAAAACTAAAAATGTTTCCCAAATTTTTTCATTAAAAACATTTGAGGAACTTGTTTACATTAACGATTAATGAGTGAAGTCAAGTCTGCTGTGTTAGCATATAGCATCAGTGTTTATGGTTATTTTGTTGTTATTGTCATATATTGCAGCGATAATGGGATTGTTTTATGCTATTCCTTTTGGTATGTTTGTTGATAGTGGAGTTGGTTATAAGATCTTTATATACATTATTGCTCTTATAATACCTCCATTCCTTGCTATCTTTGTGAGATACTTTAAAACCACGAGAGGTAAGTATCAAATTATAATTATTGTTGTGGGCACGTGTTTCACATTTGTGTCGTTTTTTATGTTTGTGTGTGCTGTTGCGTGTACAGTGAAATACCCAAGCACATGGTCTTCTGCGAATATGACAAAGCGAATTGAATATGAAACAAAAGTTTGTTGACTTCTTATGAACGATCAGACATATAATGAATAGCATGAGTGTTGTATAAACACAGAACAACAAGGGGTACTTTCCGACGTACCAACACTCAAATTGATCTATTTCACTGATTGTCCTTTTGTAAAATAAACGTCACAGACACAGAAGATTGTTTAGTTAAACCCGAGTATACACTATGTCCTGGTTATTTACTTGGGTTAACGGATGATGATTCGTGTTGGAAGACAATATATCCTGATAATCCACTTACAATCACAATGGATGGAGTCTTTATATTTGCTTCAATTGGGTTCTTGGTCTGTACAGTGTATGCTATTGTATTGCGGTTTAAAAACACTCTTAGCGACTTCTTCAGTTGTTGTGTAATACCATATCATTTGAAAACCCTTGAAATTGACACACAAGTACCACGAGAACCTGAAATCAACATGAAAATAGAGATGGAAAGGCAAAAGAAAGCGGTAGAGATCAAAGTAGAATCTGCTTCATCTAACCTTCAAGTTTGATTCTATAATTTACCATTACTTATAGTTTTCTGTTTTATTACTTATTAATTATTTCAATATTATTATTAGAATACTATTCTATATAATATATATAATAAATAATAAGTAAACATTAAGACGTGCATTATGAAAGTCAATTAAATTGTGTGAGACCAAAGATATTGTTTACAAGACACTCTGGCATTGTTCTTCTTCTTCGCTGTCATCGTCTACATCTCCTTTTTTGGGTTTCTTTCTTCCAAAGAGTCCGTGGTGCTTTTTTTCTTTCTTGTCTGCTTTGTCGCCAGTCACCTTAATTTTGAGACCCTTTTTATCCTTCTTATCTGTAGTAAGTGTGAGGGAATTTCTCTTTTTAGAATTTGATCTATTTCTTAGGCCAATGTTTTATCTAAAATTAATTAAAAATATAAACACTGTTGTGTATCATAGTAAAGTGTAGAAGAAATAAAACAAACGTTTTCGAGATGATTTCAATCTGTGAGACATATGTCCCAAATTCCGAATTGAGTTTTTTGTACTTTTCAACTTCTTCGGGTGTGTGTGGTGTCTGCTGATACTTCGCAAATGTGTCTTCAAACGTCGACTTCAGTGCAGACGCCTTTTTATGAAGGACCTTTGCATTGTTTGTGTTTGTAGTTGATGGTTCCTTTGTGAGGGCAACTTGGATCTCTTTACCAATTTTGGTGATCTCTGAAGCCAAGTCTGCTATACTCATTTTTTCAAGTGCGTTCTTTTCGTCGTCTGTGACGCCTTCCTTTTCAAGAATCTTGAAAAATCCCTTTTTCTCGTATTTTTCATACATCGACTTGTACTCTGGGCATGAACTTCCATGGACTGAACCCCAATTTAAGAGGAGACTCAAAGCCTTTTCTTGAACCATATCAGGTGGAGTACTTTTTCTTATTTTCTACAAGTGAATTGAATTGTTTTTATTGATGTAAATGAAATAAAATTAATAAATTGAACAATTAAACAAATTAAGACATGGAAACAAATAGAACTATTAACTACACACTATTTGATGTACATTTCAAAAATTATATCTAATTATAGAATTATCTATAATTAGATGGTTCTGTTCTATAATAAGAATAGTAAAACTACACAAGTAACAAACTCCGATGTTTGTGGATAATTCGAACATTGCAGTAAACTCCTTGTGACACACCTGAGCTTGGAAAGGAGCCGCATTGTCAAATAAGTCACCAGCTAGACTCAACGTATAAAACATTTCTTTGATTGGAATGAACCCTGTGCAGTAGGCTTTCATCTTATTTACTATAAGCACTCGAATAACTGCAGGAGCGTTCGAAACAGAAGCAGCTACCTTTACGATACTTGCAATATTCTTCTTGTTGATCTCTTTGTTCGACTCATTGACGGTTATGTCAAACAGCTGACTGAGTGGCATTGACTGTTTTTTGGCCATGTACTGTTGTTTGAATTGTTCGATCTCTTCCGTTCAAAAAGAAGTAATGATGAGTATTTTCAATGGCAAATAACTTGCCTTATTACCAACACCAATTTTCTTGTGATAAACAGAAGAAAGAAAAAGTTGTTCAAAAGATAATAAATATTGTAATAATAAAAGTGTCATAATTTGATGGTTTATAAGTGTTGGAACACTATGTTGTGTTAGAATGAACGCTTTTGCCAAGATAGAAATAAAAAACATTTTCAAGGAGTTTGCAAAACAAAAAATATCTCTTAAGTTAATAATAATCATTTTTATTGTTTTATTATCTTAAGCATTTTTTCAGATCAGGTGAGAATGTTAAAGAACAGTTTAGTTTTTTATCTCTATGTCACAATGATTTGGAACTAACTTATGTGTAATCTGGGGTGCATTGTAATTTAATAACTGTTTAAAAAAACAAAAACAATAAATAAAATTGTGAGTCAGTAAAACGAGTTGTTTTTAATTTGAAAATATTTATGGTTTCATTTTCTTATGAATTATATTTTAGATTTGTCACTTAATGCAAAATCTTGTTAATAATCCCGTTATATTACTATAATTCTATTATAAATTTGTTATTTTTTAAAAAGTGGATTGATTCATAAACTCAACCACTATGTAGTTATTAAACAACTCATTTTGATTTGTAAAAATGTGCATAATTTTTATGAAAAAAGTCGATATTTATTTATTAAAAATAAATTAGTTGTAATTGTAACAAATTCTATATTTTATAACTATTTATAATTAAATTGTAACCATACATGTAATTAAAAAATTACACACAAAAAAATCAAAAATATCACACAAAACCACACCTTTCTCTTTTTTAATTAAAACATTATTATAACTTTACAATAATAATTATATATTTTTTTCGACAAAACGAAGCTTTTTGAAAAGTGAATTAAAATAAACAATTCATAAATTTTTAAATTAAACAAATATCTAACACATTCTAGTATTTATAAATTTTTTAATCAATTCAAAAACTTTGTTATTTATGAATAATTCTGTTTTGTGTTCAAAAAAATATAGTCCACACAACAGCGATTAACATTTTTAAAATTTTATTACAAAAATATAATGATTATAACATTTTTTTAAAAAACAATAATAATTAGCTACAAATTTTATTTTTTTAAATTTAACTATACAAATAATTAAATATAAATTTTATTACATTTATAATAAAATTATAATTTAATTAAAAATGAGTTATATAAATAATTCTGATTTACAACAAAAAAACCATATAACAATTTTGAAAAAATTTCAATTAGAGTTTTGATTCTCTAGTTAATCTAGCCAACTTATCATTGATATTTTTCTTGAGTTGAGCGTGCAACTTATTTGCTGTTTCCTTGTCTTTTCTTCCGAGGATAGCAAATCTATTTTCTCTGTTCATGAACTCTTCCAAATCACTTTTGATTTCTTTACAATCCAATTGGAGAGCAGCTTTTCCTTCTTGGATGAGTCTTGGGTCATATCTGTAAAGTGACCAGTATCCACTGTTGACTGCGTTCTTCATAATTTCAAGAGACTTAGTCAATGGGACACCTTGTTCTTTGCATGGGCAGTAAGCGATAATAATAGAGACACCGTTATAACTTTCAGCCTCTTTGAATGCCTTAAAAGCTTGAGCTGGGTTTGCTCCAAGTGCGATAGAAGCGACATAAACATCGCCATAAGACATCGCAATAGCTCCAAGATCCTTCTTAGGGCGTGTACATCCACCCGCAGCAAACTTCACGACGGCGCCCAAGTTAGTAGCCTTTGATTTCTGTCCACCCGTGTTTGAATACATTTCGGTATCAAGAACTAAGATGTTCACGTTCTCACCAGAAGCCAAGACATGATCAACACCATTGTATCCAATATCATACGCCCATCCATCACCACCAATAATCCATTGTGTGATCTTAATGAAAACATCTGAGTTCTCTTCGATCAATTTAAGAACAGCGGATGTATCCTTCTCTACAGCTAACAATGGAAGAACCTGTTTATAAAGTTTCTCGCAAGCATCAGCATCTTCCTTTTTAGTTACCCACGCCTCAAGAATACTTTTGAGCTCAGCAGATAATTTGCCTTCTTTGATCGCTTCTTCACATAATTGAACTAAGTAGTTTCTTCTCTGTGCAATTGCTTTGTACATACCAAAGCCATACTCGGCATTGTCTTCGAATAACGAGTTACCCCAGGCGGGTCCTCTTCCTTCAGCATTAACAGTGTATGGGTTGGTTCCCCATGTAGCTCCCCAAATTGATGAGCAACCCGTAGCATTGGCAATGACTGTTCTTTCACCAGTTAATTGTGTCATCAACTTAACTAAAGCAGTCTCATTGCACCCTTCACAAGCTCCAGAGAATTCAAGAAGTGGTGTTCTAAACATAGAACCCTTCATGTTGGATCTATCAGCAACTTCAGTCTTCTCTGTTATCATCATTGAGTATTCCCAATTCTTGGCTTCTTCACCACCAATCTTCTCAAATGGAGTCATTGACAAGCACTTGGCTGGGCATGCAGTCACACAGACTGAACATCCAGTGCAGTCCATAGAGGAGACTTGGATTCTAAATTTATAAGCATCTACTGGCTTCTTTCCATTGATCATAACGAACTCTTTTGGCGCTTTATTGGCTTCATTCTCATTCAACAAGAATGGTCTGATTGCAGCGTGTGGGCAGTACAATGAGCACAAATTGCATTGAACACATTTGGAAGACTCCCAAGCTGGAATGGCAGTAGCAATACCTCTCTTCTCGTATTTGGTAGTTCCCATTGGCATGAATCCGTCTTCAGCAAATTTGGAGACTGGGAGTTCGTTGCCGTGCATTGTCAATTGTGGCACCAAAAGGTCATTCACAAAGTCTGGTGCGTTTAAGTGAACCTTCTCTTCTATTTCTGCGTTCTTCCAGTCCTCTGGAATTTTGACTTCAACAAGACCAGCAACAGCTCTGTCAATAGCATCGTGATTCATCTTGACGATTTCTGGGCCTTTGTTTCCGTAAGTCTTCTGGACGGCTTCTTTCAACAATTTAACGGCAGTTTCAAATGGAAGAATGTCAGCCAACTTGAAGAAGACAGTTTGCATGATCATGTTAATTCTTCTTCCCAATTTGACTTCTTGTCCAATCTTAATGGCATCGATTGTGTAGAACTTGATGTTCTTCTTGGCAAGAGCTCTTTTCATTGAGCCCGGAATTTGTTTCTCAAGTTCAGCACCAGTCCACGAACAATTCAAAACAAAGACAGAGTTGTCTTTTGCAGTAGCCAACATGTCATACTTGTTAACGTAATTGGGGAAGTGGCAAGCAGTGTAATCGCTGTTTTGAATCAAGTACTGCGACTTGATTTCCTTGTCACCAAATCTCAAGTGGGACACGGTGATTCCTCCAGACTTGTGTGCATCATAGTAGAAATACCCTTGGACGTACTTCTCGGTGTTTTGACCAATGATTCTAATAGCGTCGTGATTGGCACCAACAGTTCCATCGGATCCAAGACCCCAGAACATGCATTGAGTAGTACCAGCTGGAATTGGGTTGAAGTTTTCTCCAAGTGGGAGTGACAAGTGAGTCACATCATCATCAATACCAACAGTGAAGTGGTTCTTTGGCGTTTCCAATTTTAAGTTATCAAAGACAGCCTTGGCCATAATTGGGGTGAACTCTTTGCTTCCAAGTCCGTATCTTCCGCCAACCAAAGTGACTTTTTTGAGTGCGTCAATCAACACAGTGGCAACATCGAGATACAGTGGCTCAGCAAATGACCCAATTTCTTTTACTCTGTCAAGAACAGATATCTTCGTAGCAGATGCTGGAAGTTGTTCCAAGAAGTGTTTAGCAGAGAATGGTCTGTACAAGTGAACAGCCAATACACCAACCTTTTCTCCCTTTGAAATCAAATAATCAACAGTCTCTTCCAAGACTGGGACACCAGCACCCATAGCAATAACAACTCTCTCTGCATCAGCAGCTCCATAGTATTCGAAAATTTTGTACTTTCTTCCAGTAAGAGCAGCGACCTTGTCCATATTCTTCTGAACAATTTCTGGGACTCTGTCGTAGTCGATATTGGACTTTTCAACGGCTTGGAAGAACACATCTGGGCCTTGTGAAGTACCTCTCTCGGATGGATGGATTGGATTGAGACCTCTCTTGTGTGCTCTGTCGACGTATTCTGGGACAACCAAAGTCTTGATTTGGTCATAAGACAATTGGTGGATCTTTTGAATTTCGTGTGATGTTCTGAAACCATCAAAGAAGTGCAAGAATGGCAATGAAGACTCCAAAGAAGACAAATGAGCAACAATTCCAAGATCATGTGCTTGTTGGACGTTGTGAGATGATAACAAACAAAATCCAGTTGATCTGCATGCCATCACATCAGAGTGGTCACCGAAGATAGAAAGAGCTTGACCGGCCAAAGCTCTTGCAGAAACGTGGAAGACACATGGAAGGTGTTCACCAGCAATTTTGATCATATTTGGGATCATCAACATAAGTCCTTGAGAGCAGGTAAAAGTGCTCACAAGTGAACCAGCAGCACAACCACCATGGACGGCTCCAGCTGCTCCAGCTTCAGATTGCATTTCATAGACTTCTGGGACTTGGCCAAAAATATTTTTACGTTTCTGAGATGCCCAAACATCTGCGTTTTCCGCCATAGTGGAAGACGGTGTGATTGGATAAATAAATGAGACGTCACTAAGGGCGTACGCGACATAAGCTGCGGCTTGATTGCCATCGACTGACTGCATTGAATGAATGAAAAGTGAGGTGAGAGGATAGATTATATACTATCATTGAAGAAGATGACGTGGCGTTTATTTATGATTTATTTAAATTTGAAAGGTATAATCTTTTGGAGAAGAGAAAAGGACGAAATCCGCTGTTAACTCATCGTATACAGAAGTTTAATATGTATACTATAAGTCTTTGAATTTCAACATACAACAAGAATATAATTGGTAGTAGATGAAAGAACACATTGGTTGTCTTTAAAATAGGGTCTTGAATAGTAAAAATAAAGGTAAAAAGTGGGGAATCAGTTTGTATAATTAAAAAATATATATTTTGTAAAATTAAATAGCCTCGGGTTTCGTGTTTCTGTTTTTTAATCGTAACAAATGAACGGACGAACCAGTTGAGGTGTGAAGATTCATTGAAATTTGCTAAGAAAATAAAATAGTCAAAAAACAATCACTTAAAAAAATTCGAATAATAATTATATTTTAAATCAATTAAAATAGTTCTTAATAATAATAATTTACTATTCATTTTAATTTTTTCAAAATATTGGAAATAATTAAATTTGTTCTATATTAAGAACTGAAGTTCAACAGGAATTAATAATGAATTCCAATACTTCAAAGTATAATTGTAAAAAACAAACAAAAAAATAATATTGTTATTATAAATGATATTAAAATATAGGTATTAACAAAAAATTTGTTTTCGTTTCTTTATAACTTTTTTTTCAATAGTATATCGAATAAAAAAATAATTATCAAATTATTAATGATGAAAAAGATTTTATTAAAACTTTATTTAAAATTAATAGTAAATTATAATACATTTATTTTAATACTTATAACAATATTATTTTCATTAAAAACAAACAAGTTGTTCTAATAATAAAAATATAACTATACTTTTATAATAACTTTTAAATAAAACATATAAACTTAGAACAATAGAAGAATTGCGTAGTTCTAATTTAATATTTCACCATAATAACATAAAAATAGATTTGATTGAATCACAAACCAATTGAATTATTTTGATTTAGATATTACGACATTTGGTGTAAAAACACCCTACCCATTATAATGTGAAACAGCATTATTTAATTAATAGTTATTAATATACAAAACTATTAAAAATACTTAAATTTAAAGAGTGGTGTAGTTTATTGTCCATTGACCAGGGGAGTTCAACAGTTTATGGTTGTCAATGAGAAAAGTGATGACAAATATACAGAGACGTCAAACTTGAAAAAAATTGACATTAAATAAGGCAAAAAGTCATTGAAAGTTAACAAATGTTATTATTATTGTTTGAAAATTGTTAAAAGAATTAGAAAAAAAAATGATATTTTTAAAGGAAAAATGATACGGTTTTTTAATTTTAGATACCCAGGTTATAAAAACCAATTACTACACTATTTTTTAGAACTACTCCCTTAGTTCTAAAAATACGAATGACATTTCATTCGTATTTTTATATGTGTTTAAACTTGATTGACCGACCTTGAATAAACATATGAAAAAGAAAATTGAAATGGTATATTTGATGTCAATTTCAATTCATTTATCAACAATGGACGACATTATAAACTTTTTAAAAGTAAGCAAGAAAACTTACAGATGTTTAAAATCTTTGAAGATATCACCTTTGTTTACTGATAAAAAGTCTATTGTTAAGTTTTCTCAGCACTTTCAAGTAGATACACTTGATTTGATGAACAAAAAGATGTCGGTTTTAGACATAGCGAATAATAGTAAATATCTGTTACGCCCAAATTTTGAAATAGATTTTGCCGACAAAAAAATAACGCCCTATTACATACAAAATATTTTTCCTAAAATTGGATCACTTTCATTTGAAGTGAACAACAATTATTCATTGACTCAAATAATCATAAACAATTCACAATTGTTTTTAGAATTAAAAAACATCAGTGGAGATGCAAGACCTATTTCACAATTTTTTGAAAGTTTCACCAACAATGGAAAAGACAGATTCTTTAAAATGCCTGGTAATATAGTTATTAGTTCAGTGGATGGGAAATATCTGAATGAACACACTCAAGACTTGTTGCATATGTTAATTAAGAAAATATCCAAGTGTTTATCGGATAATATGGACGTTGTTATTATTGTTATAGCAGAAAGAAACATCGAAAATAGAAACACGCCAGAAAGGGGTCAAGTGAAATATTATAACAAGGCTTTTTATGAAAAAAACAAGTGATTGGAGCAATGATAAATTTATTTGTGAAAGAGGTAAATTATTAATTGACGGCGACGCATCAGATGTTGTCAATTCATTGATTAAAAAATGTCGAGCTACATCAATTGAGCAAGTTGATGCCCAAGTGTCGACAAACAAATACACTCTTCCCAATTATGTTGAAAGTTTTACACTTAAAACGAATGTATTTAGAAATGAAATTAAAACACAACTGTTTGGATTGAATTGTGAATATATCAAAAAAATAAAACTGGACCAAGTTGAATCAATTAAATTTGAAAATAACTTCTCAAGCCTCAAGAATTTGGACGTTTCTAGTTCTAAAAATGTTTATTTTAATAATAATAATTCATTGAAATTACAAACTATAGTACTAAATATGTGTGACAAAGTCCAATTCAATTTGAATGAAATATCAACTTCAATTTTTAATATTTTAGAGAGTAATGATATCCATATTAACGGGGTTTTTACTGGTCACATTAAAATAGTCAAAAGTGAAGATATTTATTTTATGAAGAACACAATTTCTAACAACATTCTCGATATCGAAGAATCACTTAATGTAATATTTGGCAATTACTGCATAATAGGAATGAATTTCAAAAACAGCGTTGAACACCCTACAGACAACATTTTACTTCAAAAGCCTAAAAAGTGTACAAAATGTTGTTATATTGTTTAAATAACAACAATTAGTACTTCTGAAAAGAGATGTATCACATAATTTTAAGGACTAAACGATTTTACATAGTAGTTTATTGTTAATACTTAATTATATATTTGGTTTATATGATTGATCTATAAATACAATTCTATAATCGTTATAACATATAATTAATTATATATAATAAAGATATTAATTAAAATATTTCATATCAAAAATGAGTTTTAGCTAGTGAATAAACCTCATTATAAAATTCATTTGAAACTTCAAAATAATAACAAATACAAAATATTTAGTTTTTAATAACAATAAACAGTTTTCCTTCTTTGATTTGTTCCTTTTTGAAGTGCTTGTAAACTTCGATTTTTGTGAGCAAGTGACATCCAGAGAAGCACGACCCTCCCACATATGTCACATTTTTTGGCAACGCGATGTTTCTCAAAAAAGCGCATCCTTGAAAACAGTAATTGTGTATTTTCTCAAGTGACTCTGGCATATCTATTTGTTCCAAATTGAGACACCCACCAAAACATGACACGCCAATTTCACTTAACCTTGTCGACATTTTGATTTTGTCAAGTGAAATACAGTTCAAAAAGACATTATTTTCAAGCACCGTGACGTTATTTGGAATATTAATTTCTCTGAGCGAAGTACATCCACCAAAGCAAAACGGTCCCAAGTAGCTGATACTTTCTGGTAAGTTGATTTCTTTGATATTATAACAATTCGAAAACGTGTTTTGTCCAATTGAGATGAGTCCTTCACTGAAGATGACATTAGAGAGTGTAAAGCAAGCAGAGAACGCCAATTTCTCAATAAAAACGACACAACTTGGTATAAAAATAGAACCCAATTTACTGCATTGCGCTAGAACCCCCAAAGAAAGTGTTTTTAATTGTAACGGCACATCAAAAACAGTCAATTTGTTACAATTTGTGAACGAACTTTGACCAACTTGGACTATAGAATTCGGGAGTAAAACCTCTTGCAGTGCGTGACAATGTGAAAAGCAAAAATTTGGTATTTCTGTGATGGAACTTGGAATTGTAATACTAGTCAATGAAATACACCGAACAAAACAAGATTCCCCAATGCTAGTAAGACTCAACGGAAGACAAATTTCGGTCAATGACTCACACGACTCAAAAACAGAGTTTTTCAGCCAAATTAATGAATTGGGAAGTGTCACATTTCTGAGGAATTTGCTGAACCCAAACGCGTTGTGGCAGATCCCCGAGACCAAATTTGGGACGACAAGTGACGTCAGTTTAGCGTCGCCAAAAAAGGAGTTTGGCCCCAAAATGGTGACGATTGGGGGAATGGTTCGACCAAATCGGATTCTGTCGTCCATGGTATAACACACGTTTTTAAAGACGTAATTTTTGGTTCGATTGTGTGGGAGTTGCGTAATACCAAAATCTACAATGAACCAAAAAACGACTTGATAGAAGGGAATTTCACACTTCGAAACTTTCTGTGGCAAATTTAAACTCCCCGGAGGAAAAGAAAGAAATGGGGTGTTACCAAAGTTCTCGGACTTTTCTGAGTAGATGTGAAGAGTCTCCAGTCGGGGAAAGAATTTGAGTGTTTTGCGAGTCAATGGAATCGGGTTGAAATGGAATTTTGTGAGTAAATTGGAATACTTTGTACTCACTTGAATCAATCGGTAAAAGTCTTTGTATGTCAGAAAGTACTTTGAAACTATCATCATGTGAAAACAGTCAAGAGACATTGCAAAGAATAACATTTTCAGTTACTTCATTCAAGTCACCAATTATAATATTTATTATATATCAAATTATAATTATAGTTTCAATCATTTTAATTATTTCAATTATTAATTACTTGAAAATAATATTGATAATTCTATATGAATGAAACATGATATGGTTTGATGTTCGAAATAAAACTTATAATAAAAGTGGTTTTAAATGTACACAAGTTATTTATCTCAAACTCTTTTAATTGATATATCAATTTAATCATTTATAAGTGCTTAATTACATTACCGTTATTTAATTACTTCACTTATATTAAACTACCAACAATATGTTATTTTTTTAATATAATATATATTAACCATCATATTGAATTCTCTAAAAATTTTTACTTTTGTTTGGTATGTTATGGATTGGTACTAATTATCAAAGGAAAATACAACGAATCAAACAACACAAACAAGTGATATTAATGCTTTCCACAACAACAAGAGCAGTGTGTGCATGAACACGAACATCCACTCTGTGGGTTGTGTGTGCAGTTGACAACCTTTGAGACGCCACAAGTACATTTTGCAACCAATCGACATCCATTTGAACAATCTGTTGTGATGACCATACGATCAGATGTGACAGTTGTCTCATACTTCCCATCTACTTTCTTTCCTTCAACACGTCCACTTGCTCCACATTTGCACTTCAATTCACAGAGGCATGTCTCTTGACTTCTTGAGCATGTTGCGGTGATGTCTTGACTGTTACAGTTCAGGTTACACTCAGTAGTATTCATTCTCTGCCTTCTCGTTTGCTGAGAGTGCTTTTATACACCAGAAAGTCCACTCGACGTCCACTCTCTTCTGATTGGCTGTTTTTTGGTCCGCCACGTCAGCAGTCTATTCATGTAAACTATAACAGTTAGTTAATTTACTATAATTGAGAAGTTATATTTCTGACTGTTTTTGACCAGACGCTTTTTTCTCATTCCTCACAATTTGTTTTAAACTAATCTACTTAGTTAATATTATAAATAAGTAATTTTTTGTATCATGTCTATACGACAATGGAAAAAAGTTAAAAAATAAACATAAATTGTGAATATAACAAATAGACAGAATATTAGACACTCCTTCATTTCTTCTTTTCCCCTTTAAACGCCGTTTTCTCTCTGGTTTTCCCCACTTTAGGCTCAGTGCTTCCACTTCTTTGAATAAAAATGAATGGGTCTTCTCTTTTGAGTTCTTCGCACTTTTTTTTAGAATACGGCGACATTCTTGGTGATACAAGTGGTCTTGGTGATGAACATGGTGATGGTGACGCCGAGTAAAACTGAGACTCGGTTTTCTTTTTTTCTCCACCAAAGATCTTGAATACTGTTTGTTTGAAGCTTGTTCTCTTTGTTTTTTCTTCTTTTGTTTCTTCACAATTGTTATTTATCATCAATTCTGAACTTTCAATCAACTGTTCCCTTGACAACAAAGGCAAGCGTTTTTCTTTTCTCAGTTTGTTGAGCTTCTCCAAAAGAGTATCATTGGTCTGTTTCTTTTCCAACACAATATTTGTCGCGTTTTTAACCCTCTCTTCAAATTTTCGATGTATTTTAGTTTTCGTCTCCATCTCTGACAAACTCGCCTGTAAATAAGCCGAATATGTCCTCGAGAAGCTTTCTACGGATAACACGAACTGGTCATAAACCAAGTAGTCGTCGACAGTTGAGTTCGTCATCTTGAATGCCTCAACATATTTATGTGCGACTGATTTGTTTAGTGACCGTATGATCGAAAGTGACGAAGTTTTGAGTAATGCTTCAATCTCCTTTTGTGCTAATGTCAATTCCCCTCGATTTCGTGCCTCTTCTGTGCTGCTTATTCCGTCCCTCTCACTCATTTTCCCGAGATTTTCTTTTTTCAGTATTTCCTTTTCTAATTCCTCGACCTTTGTTTTGTTGATTCTGTCAAAAAACTCGTCGAAAACGCCAAAAGTATCGTCTATAGTATTTTTCAAGTGGATGATATACATTTCTGATGTTTCGTATTCCATTTTTTGGAGTGTTTTTGCAACAAAAAAGATTTTTTCTTTGTATTTTTCGAAAAACTCAAAGTCGCAGAATTTTCTGATCATCACTTTATTCATCAGAAAGGAAGATATCGTTTCAAGGAAAAGAATTTTTAAAATCCGTTTCTTTGCGTCAACGCATTTCATTGTGTCAATCTCCTTCCGCTCTATAACGGTTTCAATTGAGTGCAAAATCTGAA